AAGGGTACACCTGATGTGGGGATTAGCTTCGAAAGTGATGCATACTGCTTGGTATATGGGTATTCTGACTCAGACTATGTTGGAGATGTTGACATGAAGAGATCGATAACCGGTTATGTATTCACTCTTGGGAGTTATGTAGTGAACTGGAAGGCAACTCTGCAGTTGGCAATAACATTGTCTACTACTGAGGGAGAGTATATGGCATTGACAGAAGCTGCTAAGGAGGGAATATGGTTGAAGGGACTGGTTGGTCATCTGGGTCTACATCATGATCAGGCAGTAGTGTATTGAGACAGTTTGAATGCAATATGCTTGGCCAAGGATCAAGTCCACCATGAGAGGACTAATCACATCGACGTAAGGTATCATTTCTTGAGGACAGAGAAGAGGATTAAGGTGAAGAAGGTTGGCACCGCAGATAATCCTGTTGATATGTTCACAAAGCCGGTTCCACATGGCAAGTTCGAACACTGCTTGGACTTGCTGAATGTCTTGAGTGGGTGACTACGCCCTATGGGGAATTGATGGCGGGAGAGAGAGAAGGAGCAGAGTACATCAGAGATTTCAGAGGAAGAGGATCCAAATCAAGGTGGAGATTTGTTGATGTGACTTGAATCGGACTATCAGCCGCTACAACTGGATTAGTTTCCTTTTGGTGTTATTTGTAGTGTTATCAAAAGCGACCCGAGTCGGTCAGTCAGACCGCTAAAACCAACACCCGACCATCAATCCGGCTCGGTACACTCAAATAGCCACAACGGTTGGGAAGGGTGGTTTTTGAGTGGCCGGAAAGGTTAATCGTTTGAGCCGATCGAACCGCCTGACTGGTTTTTAACATCTGACCCGTCTGCTGTAAAAAAAAAAGTGCGGAAAGGCGTCGACGGTCGATCTCTGTCCTCCATTGTCGTCGTGACCTTTAAGAGTGAGAGAAGCATATTGATAGTTTGAGAGATGAAATATAGAGGGCGGTGGATGTCGATCGCAAATGATGAAGGATTAGAAGAATTGAATTCTAGAGCATGAGATGTAGAAGGTGAGATGATTATTGGGTTTCTTTGAATTTCGTGTTTTGCAGAAAGAGGGAGGAAGAAATTGAAAGATAGAGAGGAGGGAGGGGGTGAGGTGAGCGGCGCTGGGTGGGGTGGGGTGGGAAGTAGGGGTTTTTTCACTTTTTGTTTGTTAATGTATTATATATATATAATGTAAAATTACTAAGTGGTACTTGTAAAGTAAATTTTTTTTTAGTCATTAAATTGTTAAAATACTACTTTATGTATCTTCTAGTTATGATATTATTGTTTAAAAGACACCAGTTTTCTAACGGTTTTTTAACGGTCCAATATCGCTTGGACCACTAAAGTGCGAGCCGTTCACATTACCGGGTCGTGCTCCGATTCGGTTTTTACAACATTGGTTATTTGGGTTCGGGTTTTAGGCCTGGTCTATAACCGTTTCCTTTGCCATATTGGATTAGGTTTATCATTTCTTGAGGACAGAGAAGAGGATTAAGGTGAAGAAGGTTGGCACCGCAGATAATCCTGCTGATATGTTCACGAAGCCGGTTCCAATTGGCAAGTTCGAACACTGCTTGGACTTGTTGAATGTCTTGAGTGGGTGACTACGCCCTATGGGGCATTGATGACGGGAGAGAGAGAAGGAGCAGAGTACATCAGAGATTTCAGAGGAAGAGGATTCAAATCAAGGTGGAGATTTGTTGATGTGACTTGAATCAGACTATCAGTCGCTACGACTGGATTAGTTTTCTTTTGGTGTTATTTGCAGTGTTATCAAAAGCGACCCTAGTCGGTCAGTTGGACCGCTAAAACCAACACCCGACCATCAGCCCGGCTCGGTACACTCAAATAGCCACAACAGTTGGGAAGGGCGGTTTTTGAGTGGCCGGAAAGGTTAATCGTTTGAGTCGATCAAACCGCCTGACTGGTTTTTAACATCTGACCCGTCTGCTGTGAAAAAAATAAAAAGTGCGTAAAGGCGTTGACGGTCGATCTCTGTCCTCCATCGTCGTCGTGACCTTTAAGAGTGAGAGAAGCATATTGATAGTTTGAGAGATGAAATATAGAGGGCGGTGGATGTCGATCGCAAATGATGAAGGATTAGAAGAATGGAATTCTAGAGCATGAGATGTAGAAGGTGAGATGATTATTGGGTTTCTTTGAATTTCGTGTTTTGCAGAAAGAGGGAGGAAGAAATTGAAAGATAGAGAGGAGGGAGGGGGTGAGGTGAGCGGCGCTGGGTGGGGTGGGGTGGGGTGGGAAGTAGGGGTTTTTCACTTTTTGTTTGTTAATGTATTATATATATATATATATATATATAATGTAAAATTACTAAGTGGTACTTGTAAAGTAAATTTTGTTTTATTCATTAAATTGCTAAAATACTACCTTATGTGTCTTCTAGTTATGATATTATTGTTTATAAGACACCGGTTTTCTAACGGTTTTTTAACGGTCCAATACTAGTTGGACCACTAAAGTGCGAGCCGTTCACATTACCGGGTCGTGCTCCGATTCGGTTTTGACAACATTGGTTATTTGGGTTCGGGTTTTGGGTCTGGTCTATAACCGTTTCCTATGCCATATTGGATTAGGTTTAGACCCAAATGAGAAGTACTATAAATACTTCTCATACTCCTCTGTAATATGTAATCTCCGCGATATAGTGAAACTGGCTCTCTCTCGCCCGTGGACTAGCTAACACACATCGTGTTAGTGAACCACGTAAATCGTGTGTCGTGTTTTCGATTCTCTCTTTCGTATTCTTGCTTTGTCGATTCCGGCGATTTTCCAATCCGTAGCAGCGCGTTTATAACAAGTGGTAGGATTGTTAAGGTACAATCCAAGTACCACATCGGTAATACAAGGGAAGGAACCCTTGTATATTAGTGTCCACCAAGCTCATTAGTACGAGGCCTTTTGGGGAGGAAATCCAAGAATAAAACCGTGCGGGCTTGACCCAAAGCGGACACTATCGTACTAATGAGCAACCTGGTTATGACACAACTATTGAATGGATTGTTGCTCATGATAAGGTTGACAAAAATAGTAGCAAACTTTGGTTCATTGAGAAGCTTAGGAGGATTTGATCCCTCTCGCCAATTGACAGCCCCTGCTTTGTGACCCGTGTTCTTTTCAGAAAATATAAATTTTCTTCATTTATATCATTTTAAAAATAAAATAAATTATAAAATTATATTATTTAATATAAAATAAATCTAACAAGATCCATTTTGAATACTTTTTATTGTTTAGAACTTTTATTCATATTTTATATTCTAAGTCCTTTATAGTCATTTTACACAACCTCTCATGTTAAAAAGCACTTCTAATAGTTTTACGGCCAAACACTCAACTGGTTTTTTTGAAAAGTACTTATCTAAAAGCTCCAGCTAGAAACTGTTTCTGCAAAAGCTACAGCAGAGCCAAACTAAGCTATTGTTCCTTCCTTTCTTTCAATGCATTTTCACCATTATATAAAAAAAATATCAATTGGTCTCAATAACTCGAACTGTTGAAAGAGGTGTAAGTTACGAAACATATACCACTTATTAACAATTAGGTTATAAATATTCGTACAATTGATCTGAAAGATATGATGTTGGTTCAATTCATCTTCAAATTTTAACCGAATTTGACATGTAAGATTGTGTTTTGGTTTCTCATATGTGGATTTCATCCACTAACCTTTTCAGTTTGTGCAAAGTATATTGATTAGGAGTTGAGAGCATCTTGTAATTCATTGAGCAGGAAAAGGGGGAGGCCGTCATTTTCTTTGTTAGGTAAATACACCTCGGTAATACGAGTGAGGTAAAGGTGAAAGCCATGTGGAGCATAAATTAAATGTTCCCAACTTGTTTTGACTTCAAACTATACCACACTTGGGGTATTTAGGCAGACCATTACGTGAAGCAAGTGTGTGAATGACTCAACGGTTGGGTAGAAGAAAACCCCCAAATCCAAAACAGCAAAAGCAGCTCCGCTAGCTAGCTGGGCCAAAAAGGCACCGTGGCGGGGCGGGCGCGGGCGGGAATAAAAGGGAAGCCGCTACAATCCCATTGACTAGCTGTCGGTTAAGAAACATATCCCTCTCTCTCTCTCTCTCCCTATTCTTCCTTATTAAGTTTCTATCCCTCGCCAAGTAAGTAAGCCCCTCAATCCCCCAAAATTGAAAGAAAGCCTCATATTCACGACTGCTCTCTCTCTCTCTCTCTCTCTCCTTACCCACAATCATTGCTCCCCGCCAACCCTTTTACTCAAATCCCAACTTAAAAAAAAAACACATAAAGGACCACCATACTTCCGTGTACCCTATGGTACACATCACCATTTCCATGGGCAAAATGATACACGTTCCATAGAGTCACATGACTTCCACACTTGCACAAAAATGGTCATCTAGCTTTCTTTTTTATCTGAGATTGATAACTCGGTTTTACAAAGTCGTATCAAAACGGCCACGTACGTATGTTCATCTCCTTCCAAAATGTCAACTAATTTTAGAACCTTTTAATTTATTAGAAACCACACCAATCTTTACCTGTATGATCACTCGAACCAAATATACCCGACTCATAATCAACCCATACTTACGACTTGCAAAAGAGAACTCGCATTTAATAAGTCACCGTGAAGGTGAGTTTTCTTTTTAGGGGGGGGAGGGGGTTGAGAGTATGTGTCCAACGTCTACAGATGGCTTTGCCGGATGCTTGCTTCCGATGTAACAGTGCTTATGTGGAGTTCAGTAGTTCCCTGTTATTTGATATCGATGACCCGCGTGGAACGATGATATGCACTGAACACAATTTTGGATGGATACTAACAAATTTGCCATTTTGTCACAAACTTTAATGTCACACTATCATTTTCAAAAACAAAAAGTTTCATGTGACCACTTTGGACAAATATTGAAAATTGAATAACCATTTTGGATAATCACCCGCGCTTCCTCCCCTATATAAGCCCCAACTCCTTGCCTTCTTCCGTTCCATCCCATCCCATTTGCCATTCATAAAATCCTCTCCCACTAGCACCCACCACTCTCTCTCTCTCTCTCTCTATATATATATAGAAATCAAAAGCTCTCAACCAATAGCACACTCTCTCCCTCCCCTTTACTTCATAATTATTAAAGCTATCAAAATGGAGCAAAATCTACCGTTGGTAGCAAAGAAAGCTTGGGGGATCGTACGGGTGATCTTCTTCATGCTCCGAAGAGGCCTCATCTCCAAGCGCAAGCTCCTCCTAGATCTCAACATGATGATGAAGCGCGGCAACAAGATCGCCTCCAAGGCCATCGGCAACCTCATGTTCCACCACCACCACCACTCCGCCGCCGCATCCTCCTCCGCCCCCAATTCCCCACCGCCGATGCCGGCCACCGAGTACGAGTTCAGCTGCAGCAACACCCCGACCCACCACCTCCCCACCTTCCACCTCCCCGCCACCCTCGCCAAGCTCCACCTCCCCGCCCTCCTCGCCACCAAGCGTGGCGGCCGCACCAACCGCCACTCCGCCGCCGGCGGCGGCAACGGCTTCCTGTCCTGCGCATTCCACGCGCCACCCACCCGGGAGGATGACGAGAAAGAGCAAGAGGACACCGTCAACGCCGTCAGAATGGCGCTGGAGATCATTAACGGCAGCAACAACAGCAATGTGTACGCGCCGTCGCCGATGCTGCCCGGGTTCGGGAAGAGTCCGATGAGGGTGAGGCAGCTGAGGATAACGGACTCGCCGTTCCCGTTGAGGGAGGAGGACGCCGGGGATAACGGCGTCGTTGACAAGAAGGCCGACGAGTTCATTGCCAACTTCTACAGGGAGCTTCAGAAGCAACGTGGGATGGACTCCTGACCTGAGGGAACAATTAATTAATGGTCGTCGTGTGTGCCATGCAGATGCAGTAGTAGTACTATTACTCCCAAGTCGAAATTATATAAAAGTCCTGTATTTTTTCTTCCATTTTTTTTTTCTTCTTTGGGTATCTCTGTTCATGAAGGATTGGGGAATTAAGTCCAGTTAATAATTTTGGTATTTTTCTGGATTAATTGTGTCGATGTAATTGTTGGTACTTGAAGGAGAAAGACAAGGGGAAATGTTGTGTTGGTGTCACGTTTGTGATTGTTGTATATGATCATACAGGAGACAAAGGGGAAATTAGGTAAACAAATTAAAGAAAAGATAGTAAGTGTAGCTGTGGCTGGATTTTGAATAAAATAAATAGAAGTTGGTGTATTTTTTCTTGATATGTAATTTGTGTTTTCTTGGTTAGTTATGAATATGGCTTGAGTTTTTTTATTTTTTGTGCAGAGATCCAGTCTATTGATTGATGAAAATTCCTTTCAGATCCAGAAAGATCCATCCACTAAGAGCCCCTTGAAGGCTTGAACAAAAGAAGAATAAAGAAAAGAGCAATAACAAGGATTGAAGTTTTAATTTAATAATAACAAGGATTGAAGTTTGATAAATGGAAAACCAATAGAGAGACTAAACTTGCTTGAAAGAAGGTATGAGAGACTTGAACATAGATCTTCAGGTTGAAAATCGACAATACAATTGCTAGGCTAAGTCTTAGTTTCCTTTAAAGATGAGGTTATAGCTTAAAAGTTTGACATAGCCAATAGTCTTCTCAATCTTTACTCTTGAGGATTTTACCTTTTAGATCCTCATGTATGGGATTTTTCGTTTTATAGTTAAGCTAGATATTAGCTGATTTTGATCTTAATCAATTTAGATCTGCTGATTTCGAACTACGAACCATTATGGGTCGAAACATTTGAATAACAGGTAAATATAAAAAAAATTACTAAGTAGGTTAAACATCACTAAAATTATGAAGTATCTATGTCATATTATTAATGTGAAAATGAAGTTGAATGGTGAATAAAAATTGACCCACCCAACCCGCATATTGCTAATCCCTAATTACACATCACTAAAATTATGATGGCGAGTGTCTGACTTTTACACCATGAATTGTACATATTATGAATGTGAGAATGAAGATTAATGATATAAAAAAAACAATCAACCCTTTGGTGCCCAACTTTAATTTACTGTTGTCCCGAGGTGATCCCACTGAATTATTATTATGTTAAAGGTGGTAAAGTAATATAAAGGCTCATTATAGGGTTTACAAATTTCTTTGATGAGATCACTTTCATGCTTTGCTTTACTTTGCTTGCTGGCCAGCCCAACTCACCCCTGTTTTTTTTTTTATAATAAACTAATACACAAGCCACTTTACTGCTTTGCCTTTGCCTTTTCTGTTGCATTTCATTAGTTATCACTTCTGTGCGGTGTTTTATTCATAATAAGCGTATTTTTTTTAACTATATAACCTTTTCCCACATCTATCTTTCAATCTGTCAATTGGTTACTTTTGGAGATATACTGAATCCCGTTTTGCCAGCACTATAGATGTGTAAATCTGGCTGATAGTTACATATAAGAGTATAAAAACAAAAATAATAAATAATAAAAAAAGATTGAAAGGCATAATCATAGAATTGAATCTAGATTTTATCATGCATATATGTACGTATAAGGAATCTAAGCTTACAGTTAACCATCCATATCTTAGAAACTGCTAAGACAATGCCTACAAATAGTAATATCCACTTAGAATAGGGAGCGGTTACGGTGCTAATTGTACAATAGTTAGCACCGTCCTAACCAAGGGAAAAACTACTACTAGTTTGAATTAGTAGTGATTTAGCTTAGATGTTGTATTGATTTTATAATCATCCGTAGTGATTTCGTTATTTTTAGTAGCGTTTTTTGTTAGTTATCACGGTGCTAACCCCTATAAGGGTTAGCACCTAATCCCATCCCACTTAGAATAATACTATATATTGATGTCCTTAATTATTCAGTCGTATATATATCATGAAAGATTCACTTGTTTTGTTCAAGACGAATCATCCACTTCCAACAAATTATTGCATGTACAACACATTTTTAACAATAAATTGCTGTTCTAGGCTTACACAAAGTGAATCCTAAGAATCTAAAATGTTCAGAAATAATTAAGTGTGTGCACTGGAACTTGCTGATACCATGAGATCACTTCGGATCTCCTCCAACAATCAGCTGGGATGGCAGAGAGTGACATGGAGGCCCAGTTGTAAAAGCTTCTTTGATGCCATCGCCGTTAAGGGTTTGGAGAGAAATGATGATGCTTCCCCACTAATCATAACTACTCAGGTCAGAAGGGATCCATATACATATATTAATTGTAGGTGCCGTTTGTTAGAGTGATGTATACAATCCAGCGTAACGTAATCTTCTTCCAATAAGTCGAGTTATTGGGACCAACTGGTTTATATGACATGATATTAGAGGTGGTTTGGCCAAGTGGTCGTGTGTTTGAATCTCTACGACTCTCAATATTAACAGTTGATTTAAACACAAGGTATGGTGGGCTTATACAAACTTCAATCCGGTGAGTTGGCTTTCGTTTGAGGGGGCGTGTTAAAGTGTGATATAAAATCCAGCATAACCTTCTCTCAACAATTCAAGTTATTGGAACCAACTGATTTATGACAACGTTAGAGGTCTCCTCTCTAGCGGATACGATGTTCGGACTTTGTAAAAATTGAGGAAATATCCATTTTAAATTCGTTATTAGGTATTTATATATATATAGTGGCGTCTTCGGTGCACTCACTTTTTTGGGTGCATTCAGTGCACTCACTTCATAACCGTCATTTTAAACATGCGCTTTATGTCAAAATGATGTCAATCATCACTTATGATGTGTGAACAATAACGCACATGAATTTTCACAAAACCATTGAAGGATTTATTGTTTAGAGATTTAGGGTTAGGGTTAGGGTTTATGATTTAGGGTTTAGGGATAGAAATCAAAATTGGAGGTCTAGGGCTTAGGGTAGTCTGCTAATTAGTTGTTATCATATGTTATATCATCATATTACACTAATTCTACAAATTAAAATTCAAAATTCGACACTTTAAGACTTGTTTTTGACTTGAGTGCATTGAACGCACTCATTTTTGTGAGTGCACCGACAGTCACCATATATATATATAATGTATACATAAAAAAAATAAATCATGTTAAACGTACAAGAATTAAAGTAATGGAAAATCTGTCTCCGGTTTATACCTACCTCGTGCCCTAACGACACCCTGTCGAAGTGTATATATTTAATTCTAATCACACCCTGTCTCCAATTTTTAGTTCTAAACAAGCAATTGTGTGGGATTTGAATCCTAAGAGTAGTCAGTCAACATAGATAGCTCGCTATCACCCGCCGTATTCCATTAGGTTAACTTTCATTAGTTTTCTTCTAGGCGAAGGCTAATTAATATATTGGGGGAAAATATATCGGGCAGAAGTTCAGTGACAGCGGCAACCCAATTTGTTAGTATGATATTAAAACTAAGGTCCCGTTTTGTATCGATTTGTTGTTGTGGTTGCAGTGGTCTTGTGTAAACAGATGTGCAACCACAACAGGAAAAAAACAGAAAACACAAACCTGTTTAGTTGATAATCTGAAAAATAATGAAAGCAGACAACAAGAAACAAAAACACGTTCAATTACTACTATTAGAATTAAAAACCAGAAAAGAGAGGAGGCGGCGAGGGGGGAAAGGATTCGAAGTCGGCGACGGGAATCGAGAGGTGGAGGTGGCAGGGGTTGCGAGGTCGGGCGACAGGGGAAAGGGAGGCGGCGGGGGCAAAGGGACGAAATCGACGACGAGGGGGAGATGGACGATATCGGCGGCCTGGGTCTCGAGAGGAAGAAGTTGAGAGAGGGAGGGAGCTGTTGGGCGGCGGGTTTGGGAGAAAATGAGGGTAGGGTTGGCCGACTAGGGATTGGAGGTAGGTTTGGGAGTTAAAAAAAAAAAAAAAGAGAAATTTTTTGCTTTAGGTGGGATTCGAATTGAGGGTTGTTTTAATGAAAACAAACGGGAATCCCGTGTAAAACATGTACAAGAATCAAATCCAAATCAATAAATTGTTGTTTCTCAAATTTGGGCCCTGTTGTGCAAATCTGATTCACAACAAAAAATAAAAACCCAACTAAACATGGTTTTTTTCTTGGTTTCTCCAATCTTGAAAAACACAACAGAAAACAAAAACAGGCAGGGCCTAAGTCCAACCAACACGATTTTTTTATTACCCCTCAACCTAAGCCACACACAGCGAATCCTACTAAATGTGAACGCCACCTGCAATCAAATTCGACACCAACGGGGCTTCACCCCAGTAGCCTTGTACCTTCGAGAACACCAACGAGCCTCGCTTGGATTCGAACCTGGGATCTGCAACTCCCAAACATTTACTATTGCGACAGCTTTACCGTCAGGCTATCTTACCTTTGATAACCAACTCGAATATTTGGTTTTGATAACTTGTTAATTTTAAATGGTTGACCATAATAAATGTCGATTTCTAAAAGGAGGGATATTCTTCTCGTTTTAAGTAGACCACAAAACACATATTAGAATTGCAACAAACTACACCACAAATAATATAAACTAGATCAGAGAGCTTATAAAGCATACCAGAATATCATCACACAACAAAATTCATAAAACATACCAATAACCTCAAAGCGGATAACAAGTTTGTTAAACTAGACTAGAAACCTCATAAAGTAGACCACAAATTCCTGAAACATACTAGAACATCACTACACCACAAAATTCATAAAGCAAACTAGGAATTTCAAAGCAGACCACAAATTTCTTAAAGCATACTAGAAACTTCATAAAGCAGACCACAAGTTATCTAAAGCACACCCGAAAATCACCATACCAAAAAATTCATAAATCATACTAGTAAGCTCAAAGCATACCACAAGTTTGTTAAAGCAAACTAGAAATATCATAAAGCATAACACAAGTCTCTTGAAGCATATATACCAGAAACCTCCAAAAGCATACCCGAAGCTTATTAAAGCATAACACAAGTTTTTTAAAACATACAGAAACCTCATATAGCATACCACAAGTTTCATGAAGCATAACAGAAACCTCATAAAGCAAACCAGAAAACCTCATATAGTACACCAAAAGTTTATCAAAGCAGACAACAAGTTTCAAAAAGCATATCACAAACCTCATAAATTGAAAAAATATATAATTTTTTTAATAAAACTATTTACCAAAATGTAGGGCATACATTTTTAGGTACACAGAAGTAATTTTTATCAATATTTTTAGGACTTATATGCAAAAAAATAATTTAGGTACTGCATC